TCCTCCTTCCTCCTCCTGCACTTGCTTCCAGAAGGCTGAAAAGCGTCTTTCATTTCTGTTCGCTCTTTGGACCATCTCTCCTGACAATATATCCCTGGAGGTTTTTAAGAAGAGATTGGACAACCACCTGTCTAACAGGGTATAGGGGGTTTCGTGCTTGAGCAGGGGGTTGGACTAGGAGACCTCCCAAGGTCCATTCCAACTCTTGTTATTCTGTTATCTCCTCTGTCCCATCCTTTTCCTCTTCTTTCTTCTTCTCTCTCTCCTTCTCGTTCCCCTTCCTCCTAATGATCTTAGCTTGCCCTTGTTTCCAAAGACTGAAATTCTCCTCCATTCCTGTTCACTCTTTGGACCGTGTCTCCTGGAAATTTATTCATTAGCCAGTGTGTTGCAGGCTGATCTCATGCAAAGTTAATGCTTAACTAGAAAAACAGGACCGGCTACCCTCAACATGTCTGAAGGTTCCTTCCTCACCCAGCTGTAAAACAAGCTGGTGCTTTTCGGTTGAGAAGTCCTTGAGTCCCCAGCAGGAATGGCTTAAAAGCAGGGTGGAGAAGACATTGCTTTGGAGGCCCTGAAGCCACACAAAATGCAGATATTCCAGGCTCGATAATCAGAACAGTAAGAGGTCTGTGGAACAATTAGGAGTGTTGTTTTCCTTTTTTCAGCGATTGTTTGGCGATTACAGGGCAGGAAAGAAGGGAAGGATGTCAAGGAATTGTGCAGCCAGTATCCAAATGGAGTCAGAGATGCTGACATGAACTTGTAGTTTTATACAAATAATTATATTTTACATCTCTATCCAGAGATGGTATTCAGCAGGTTCTGACCAGTTCTGGAGAATTGGTAGCGGAAATTTCGAGTAGTTCGGAGAACTGGCAAATACTACCTTTGACAGGAGATTTTACAGTATCCTTCCCCTACCCTGCCCACCAAGCCTCGCCCACAGAACCGGTAGTAAAAAAATTTGAATCCCACCACTGTCTCTATCTACTGCAAACTAGATAGTCAGGAACATCACTACATTGTGAGGTAAATCATGAGGTAAATCACAGAGCACAAAAAGGCAGACAGAAGAAAAAGGCGGGAAAAAGGGAAACGCCCCCTTCATGTCCGCAGCAACCAATCAGAACGCAGATTTCCTCACACAGGAGCCGACACTCTCCAACCAATCAACTATAGGTGACCTTACATCCTTTCATTTATTTACTGACTGTTCAACGTTACAACAGTGCTGAAAAAAGTGACTCATGACCATTTTTCATACTTGGCAACATCTCTATGATCACATGATCAACATTCAGGCGCTTGTCAACTGATTATAGTTATGATGGCTGCAGTGTCCTGGGGTCACATGATCCCCTTTTGTGACCTTCTGGCAAGCAAAGACAACGGGGAAAGCAGATCCACTTAACAACTGTGTTACTAACTTAACTACAGGGATTCACTTAACACTTGTGGCAAGAAATGAGGCAAAGCTCATTTAACATGTTTCATTTAGTGACAGAAATGTTGGGCTCAATTGTGGCTGTAAGTTGAGGATTACCTGTATAACTGTGTGTTCTGGCTCATTGTACAACCCCACTGCTCCAGCTACTGAATTGAAATAAGAGATGAGATAGCCCCCCAAAAATGATTTAGAAAATTACAGGTCGTTCTTGATTTACAACCGCATGATTGACTTAACGACAGTGATTTGCTTAACAGCCGAAGCACAATAGGTTGCAAAATTGGGTGTGCGACTCACTTAACAGCTGCCTTGTTTAGCAACAAGAAATTCCCAATTGTGTCATAAATTGAGGACTATCCGTACCAGGACACTGATGATATTACTTACTCTGGTTTGAAACGTCTGCAAGAAAATGACCAAACTCGGAGAACTTCAAAGACTCTACAGTTCAACCCAGAACTTCTGTAGATATTTATTTATTTTATTAAACTTATATGTCAACTCCCATGGCCTAGAGGTGGAGCTCTCACCTCACAATCAGGAGGCTGTGAGTTCGATCCTAGGTAGAGGCAGAAATTTCTCTCTCTGGACACAATGAGTATATATCTGCTGACCAAAACTCCTCATTGGTAACAGGAAGGGCATCCGGCCATTAAAACATTCTGTTAGCTCCATTTAGTTGCCCAGACTCCACCCCACAAGGGATTATGCGGTCGTTAAATGAAGATGATACTTCAACTCCCAATGACCCCATTACTAATTGTGGTCTTCCCACTCCCTCAGTTTTCCATGCTGCATATATTTCAGAGTTCAGATTCAATAATGCTTCAAATTATAATTTAAGAGATGATGCTGATTTTAATGATTTATTTCTTTTAAAATCTGCTGAGAATTGGTCATGCAGCACCACAAAAATCAAGATTCAGATGAGATTGGATTTCTTCCTCTAAAAATTTCTACAAGTAATACCTATCAATATAGGTAGCCCTTTATTTATGACCACAATTGAGGCCAACATTTCTCTTGCTAAGTGAAGACAGTTGGTAAGGAAGTTTTGCCCCATTTTTCTGAACTTTTTTTGGCCACAGTTGTTAAGTGAATCACTGCGTTTGTTAAGATAGCAACATGTTGTTAAGCGAACCTGGCTTCCTGTGATGACCCGGGGAATGACACAAAAATAACAAAGTCACAAAAGTAGAATAAATTCCCTTGAATGCCTCCAACTTGGGCCCCAATGTCCAATTATCCTTGGCTAGATATCAAACTCTTCCAAAACCAGTCTCCGAAGGGAGTAAATGCAGTCCGAATCCAAAGTAAAGATAATTAGAAATAAAAAAACTAACCCAAAACACACTGAAGTAATTAACACGGCAGGCCAGGATGATAAATTGCAGACTTCCACAAGATAACACAGCACCCACAGTTGGGAGGCCGCCAAAACACAGATAAGCCTCGACAAAGATAATGCATGCTTTGCTTCCAGCAAGGAGCTGTGTGCAAACACCCCTCTTATATCCTGTTTTCCCAGCTGCAGCTAATGAAAGGGATCAGGGCCTTTTTCTCTCCCGTAACCCATGTTGCTCCCTTCTCCATTCCTCCCTGTGTGCCCCAGGATGAAGAGGGGATGGCCCTGGGTCTTCCTCTGAATGCCCAGCCGGACTGTCCCCTTCCCCGTTTCTTCCACAGCCACCGGAACCACACTCCCACTCTGTCAGCTGCTCAATCTCCCCCTCAGAATCAGACTCCAACAAGGGCATGACACTTCCCCATTGACTTTATTTGCTGGAAGGTTACAAAAGATGATTATGTGACCACAGGACACTGCAACTGTCATAAATATGAGTCATTTGCCAAGTGTCCGAATTTTGGTCACATGACTGCAACAGTCGTAAGTGTGAAAAAACGGTCATCAGTCCCTTTTTAAGTGCCGTTGTAACTTTGAATGGTCACTGAACGAATGATTGTAACTCAAGGACTTATCTGCATTAGAGACTTAAAGTGCCCCCCCCCCCCCAGATGGCAGTAGAATGAGATATGAAAATTGTGAAGAAGAAAAAAATGAAGTAGAATTAATGTAAAAGAAATGAAAAAGAAACATTTTTGCCCCAGGGGGAAGAAAATTAAACATTCACAATAGAGCAGTCTTGTTATTATTAGGATTTCGAATAAGTTTGAATTCTACAGAACACTCATTTAGCTGTTACCCCAAAATGAGCAGAAGCAAGAAAATCTCTTAAATTCCATAGTAGTTCCCCCCCCCCCCCCCAGCCAAATAATATTTTAGACATCCTATCCAGAGATAATTGGGGATTTATTCCCTGTTGGCAACATATAAAGAAGTGTCTGATGCTAACAAAGGAGTGGATTATTTGTTCTCTTGCAATGCAAGACACATATGTTGTTTGTGACAATTGAAAAGTTTTTTTTGCCATGGTAGTCATCTGCTCATCTTGTGATTCTTGAAAGCCATAAAAGTCACATGAAAAATTGGAGAGGCAAAAGGAATGAATAGCAGACCATGGAGTGGATGGAATAGATGAGAAGTCTGCAAACATGGCAACTTTCAGACTTGTGGACTTCAACTCCCAGAATTCCTCAGCCAGCAAGGCTGCCTGGGGAATTCTGGGAATTGCAGTCTACAAGTCTTAAAAGTTGTTGAAATTGGAGGACCCCTGGAATAGATGGACCACATCAGATCATCCAGGGGTCCGCCGTGCTGGGGAAAACTTGGGTGATCTTTAGCTGTCTTGAAAATGGACAAGGATGTTTGACTAGATCCATGAACTTCCTTCCCTTCCCTTTTCAATCTTTAGGGGAGATCTATTACATACTATATTATCAGAATGCCTGGCCTCTTTCAAAAACTGAACCTGGAGATGAAACACTGAACATGTTCTCAAATTTACTCTTTGATTTCCAGTTTAGATTTGAGGTAGTAAGAGAAGGGAGGGAGGGAGAGAAGGTGTGGGAAGAAAAGAGAGAGAATGAATGAGTGAGTGAAGGAAAGGAAAGGGAAGGAAAGGGAAGGGATGGGATGGGAAGGACTAGAGAAAAGAAAAAGGAAATTGGAAGGAGAAGGAAAAAGGAAGGAAGGAGAAGGGGAAGTAAGGAAGAGAGGGACGGAAAGGAATGAAAAGGGAGGTACAAGAGGGAGTAGAGAAAGGAAAAAGGAAGGGAGGGAGAGAAGGAAAAAAAGGAAGGAAGGGGTAAAGGAAGGAAGAGGGGAAGGAAGAAAAGGAAGGAAAGGAGGGAGGTACAAGTTGGAGGGGGCAGAGAAAGGA